GATACTTATATTACCAGATGTTAGTAGCTTACCAAAACATACAAAAAAGGCCGACAGGATTATTTTTCTTTTTAAAATTTTTTTTATGTTTTGTTAATCCTCGCCTAAGGATATTTTTCCATTGATTTTGAGAGTGGAAGGGAGGGGGAGAGACAGAGCGAGCTGGGCCTGCGCGGCTGTGGGTCTCTGGGCCTCCGGGTCCTCCCTCGGGTCCCGCGGGCCGGGCCGTAGCATATTCATTAAGACATAATTTTAAACATTCAAAGTAAATGAGTGACAACCCACCCTTTCTAAATAACAAGGAGAATGAGGGTTTAGAATGAAGACACTTCATTCAGCAGCCGTCCACTGTCTCCATATATGTGTGTGTATTTATCTATCCAGCCATGTATACAACATGCTCCATATGTACATATACACTTATATGTAAGGATATCCTATAAAGTAAAAGCCTAATATGCAAATTGTCCCCTCAGCCTGGAGTTGAACCAGGTGGCCCGCCAACCACCTGTGGCCCCTCCCCAACCCGGCCCAGGCGATCAGGGTGGGCTGGCCGGACCCACCTGTGCACGAATGTGTGCACCGGGGCCTTAGTATATACATATATATTTCCATATGTATTTTATCTCCATTTATATTATATATAATATATAGTTACTTAAGAATGCCCTTGAAAACAGCTTTAAAAATACAGTAGTAAATGGGAGAAAAAAGGGAACATATGTAATACTTTTAACAATAAATATTAAGAAAAACAATAGTAAATAATTGGTAAAACAGTTGTGTTTTACTTAATGCAATTAGATAATGACACACTGAGTGTAAGTGATAAACAGCATTCAGGAAGGTTATATGTTTAAGACACAATAGTCATTGTGTAAACTGAATGTAGGTTCAGAAGTTCCATTTGGGGGGATGATGAAAGCAGCAGTGTTCACGCTTTCCCAAACATTAGCAAGAGAAAGCACAGATGGCTAGCCGTCTTGCTGCAAGACGTTTGTTTTGGTAGCTGTCAGTTAAGACTTGAAAAACAACATTTTTAAAGCCAGGTGACTGTCCCACATGCTTGCTTCATTTCTTAAGAATGTGTTACAGGGGTGACATTTTGCAAATATTAAATTGGGGAATTAAATTCTCCTTTGAATCCACCGTGTTCCCCTCCAGATTACATTTTGAAACATACTGCCCCGGAAAGAGGAAAGGGGTTAGTCATCTGTAAACTTCCAACATATAAGATATGTGTTAGCTCCTTCAGCAATACAATTTGGTCGCGAAAGACAGGACGTAATAAACTACTATCGCTCCAGATGGAGATAGAAAAGAGGGGCCTGGAGTGCTAGACGTTGGAACTGCGTGGGAGCCAATGCCCTGAGGAGGCGGGAGGAGGAGGACGGAGAGTCAGAGGAAGAAGCCAGCTGCCCATCTCCACGTGGGAGTGTGCGTGGGGGGCTGGTGGATGATGTGGAGGGATGGACTGCAGCAGGAGATGGGTTTGGGAAGTCTGAGAACACTGGGACGGGAGTGTGGGGAGAGAACGTAATACTTTTTGCAGAGAGAGAATGTGAGAATGTTGGTGGTATATTTTCTGTGGTCTTGAATAATCTAAATAGTCTTAAAGTTGATTTCACAGGTAAATGACAATTTGGTTGGGTATAAAATACTTGGATTAAAATCTTTCATCTGCAACTCTAAAGATAATGCTATATATTCTCAGGTGATCCATGATTTAGAGGGTGTAAGTCTGAGACTAGCCCAATTTTTTTTTATCTTTTAAGTAATGGCAACACTTCTATTCCCATAGCTTAAAAATTCTCAGTATATCACACTCCAATGAGGATCATTTCAAGAGCTGTTTTTCATTAAATTTTTCTGGCACTTGGTTGACCCAGTGTCTTTGTCTATGATATTAGTGATATTGCTTCTGCTGTATTGGTTCAGATTCTTTTTAAGGAACATACATTAGCTGTATTTTGTATCTGATTTGATTTGCTTGTTTTTGGTCATTCTTATCTATTATTTACTCTTTCATCATTTCTTCCTCAATCTTTTCTTTGAACTGGGATTTTCTGTCACCCACTCCTATATGATCTAGTAACCAAAGGTTAGAAACTTAAAAGAGATCAAATAACTAAAAGAAACAAAAATTTGAGGAAGAAACAGAGACTCAGCAGAGAGAAGCAACGGTGAAAAATTTCGCATAATCTTTTCAGAGGTATGTGTACTGAAACCATTAAAAGGAGAAGGAACAGAATGGTACAATTTAGAAATATTAAGAGAGCAAAGAAGAGCTTTTTAGCAACTTAAGTTATAACACACACACACACACACACACACACACACACACACACAGGATTATAAGGGCTAAGGAAATCTTCCTCACAAAACAATCCTAACGAAACAAGATCCAACTAACTACCACTACCACCAACAAAAAACAAAGATGTAGAATTTCAGTGAGAAAGTAATATTGTTAGTACAAGAGTTCTAATAGCTCATTAACAGAAATTATAGAAAAACAAAGAAAAGGAAGAAGAAAACATTAAAGAACTAATTTAAAATATTCATGGTGACTCATTGGAAAGGGCTCACCGAGTGTGACATACACGGCGAGATGGGAGTGTGGGTGAGCTGGGCACTGACCAGCTCCAAGGGTACCAGGCGAGGTGGGGGTCCTCTCCCCGCTGGGTGCTGGGGGTGGACTGCTTACAAAATCCTGAGAAAAGGATCTGAGATGCACAGGGGAGAGTGATTGCTGTTTGCACGGAGTCACACCCCTGGGTTCCCAGCCCTTCCAGTCACAGGAGGAGTGCAGCTGGGTTTCCGTGGAGCTAAGGTCAGAGCCAGGGTCCAGAGGTTCCTTTCCATGTTGGAGCTGCGTTCAGCCCCGCATCAGGCCAGCTGCAGCCCATTAGTCCACTGCGTGGGGTCTGCATGGCCGTGGGCCACGCGGGAGGAGGCCAGGAAGCAGGAGCGAGAGAGCCCTATAGTCCAGGAGCCCAGGGCAGCAGGCCAAGAGGAACCAGGAACCGAGAGAGTCCAAGAGAGGGGCTTCCTCATTCAGGGAATTCAGCACCAAATCTTCATGCCCTTGCAGTGGCCACGCCCATTCTGGCCACTGACCCGTTCCCAGGTGTGACTGACAGGCAAGTACCTTCTCTGTGTCACCCCAGCTCTACTGGGCATGTGTCTGTCTTCCCTCTGTCCAGTCCCTGCCCCCAGGGTTTTGCAGGGAACATGCCTATAATGTCTGCCCCCCCCTGCTCTTTTCCTGTTATTAATAACTAGTTACAAGTGTATCATATTTCTGCATGTATTTGCCCAATTCCCCAACACCGTTTATTGAAGGGACTCTCTTGACTCCATTGTATGCTCTTGCCTCCTTTGTCAAATAGTAAGTGAGCATAATGACTTGGGTCGGTTTCTGGGTTCTCTGTTCTGTTCCATCGGTCTATGGGCCAGCGCCAGGCTGTTTTGATGATGGCTCTGTAAAATAACTTGAAAT